AGGGACTGTGATAGTCTGTCGTACAGACCCTGAAGTAAATATATCCAAGAAAGCCCACACAAGTCTAGAAAATGTGGCAAGTCTAGATTTCCTCAGCTTCTGAAAATGAAGAAAGTCTCAGGGCTCCTTTTCATTATATTTTTTTTTTTTACTATGAACTTTTTTTCAGTAAAATATGTTCATTTCAGAGACTAGTTGTTAGTCTAGGACTGTGAGACAGACTAAGGATACCACTGCAAAGCCTGTAAGTCCTACAGGGCCTCTATGCCTGGAACACCAATGAACTCGCTGACTGAGGCTGGGGATATATCTCAGCATGTGTGTATCAAAGGGACATATTTCCTGTGAGCAATCTGACAAGTGTGGGTCAGCCAGCCACTTATGGTCAAAGGCACCACCAACAAATCAGGTCAAATGTCATACTACAGGAAATAAAACAAATTGCTTGACAGTCTGCTTTGATGTGAAAGCGAGGAGGGTTTCAGGACAAATGTAGAGGAAAGATCACTCTATTCTTTCTCCCAGACCCTAGAGAATAGTTTAAATAGGAGTGTCAGCTCTATTAAATTGAAGATCATAATTAAGAAATGTCTGCAATCTGAGTGAGTGAGTGTGTGGGTGATTAGGCAGGTGAGTGAGTGAGTGAGTGAGTGTGAATGAGCAAGTGAGTGAGTGAGCTAGGATCCATTACATAAGTGAGTGAGTATGGTTTTACAGTGCTTTTAGCAATATTCCAGCAATATCACGGCGGGGGACACCAGAAATAGGCTTCAATAGGGAATCAAACCCGGGTCTTAGGCGTGACGAGCGAACGCATTAACCTCTAGGCTACCCCACCGCCCCCATTACATAAGGGAATGATGACAATTATTGTCACAAATCAACTGATGTTCATCATCTTCAACTTAAAACTTGAATTCAAACTATTACTCCAAAATACGTCGGCTTCTTACATGGAAAAAAAACTACTGACTGGACACAGCACTGGTACTGGAACCGTGACATACATGAATACACATTTCCCTCATCAGTTTTGATCTTCGTCCAGCTCCAATAAAGTAAATACTGTTATTGCCACTACCACAACATAAACGTAATTCAGGCGAAAACAGTGATATAAGTGATACAGTTCCCAATCCAGATCAACACCACCGAGGACACAAATTAAATCCATCTTGTTTTGACTAAATCCACCAACCCACCAGGAAGCCGTATGAAAATATTGGTTCTTTTCCCCAACTATCTCAAACTGCTGTTGCTCAGTGAATCAAGCATCCTGCGAGAGTTCCATCAAACGGAACTACCGAGTCGGACCAAGCTGAGGATTCTTGTTAATCGTCCTTGTCACATGCATGGTCTGTCAACATCATCTAGATGGACCCGATTTGAAGAGAGTGATGGTCCTGACCCACAGTCAGGATGCCCGACCCATCCATCACACCCTATCAGAATTGATTTGGTCGTGAAAAATGATTATTGATCCGATAACGCCACATTGATGCCTAAAAAATATGTGTTTTGTAAATGACAGGAAACAAAGTATACACTGTCATCACCTTGCTGTACCCAACTAATTATCTACCATAACAATTCCCTTAAGTCAACGTGGCAAGCAAACAAACATCATCTGGAACCCTTCAGCAGCTACATTATGTCCCTATTAATACTTCATTCATTATTAAAACAAATTATTATAAACAACACCATATTCAGCGCAACTCAGTTTTCACAAATCTCTTTTGTCCCAGACATTTTCAAGTTTTGTCATACAGATTATCAAAGATGGTGCCGAGTTGCTGGTGAACTGACTGAATCAATCAGCTGCTCACTACGGCTGTCACAAATTCACTCACATATTCGATAAATTAAACCATATTCTTTCATGAATTCAGTATATTATTTGTGATCAAGGGAATCTAATAATGAATTTTTTTAAAAGGAGTGGGTTTTTTTAAATTTGGGTGTTATTTATCAAAGCAAGATATACAAAATGGAATACATCCACACTAGGCAGGAAAACAGTCAACACCCTTATATATTTGGTGTTAGAGTAATGTGGTCACTGGTCACTGCCAAGATAAAGTATCACCGTCAACATGATCAACACATGTCAAAGGGGGATGGTGGGTACAGTGGAGGATCCAGAGGGGGCAGGGGGTTCAAGGGGGTTCGACCCCCCTTTGAAAATGACTTAAGATCACATTGAAGATTTTTTTTGCATTGGCGGAGCCAATGGGGGGTTCAGGGGGTTCGAACCCCCTGAACCCCCTCCTTTCAAAATTCCTGGCTCCGCCTATGGGGTAGCCTAGTGGTTAAAACATTCGCTCGTCATGCCGAAGGCCCAGGTTTGAATCCCCACATGGGTACAATGTATGAAGCCCATTTCTTGTGTTCCCCAGCGTGATATTGCTAAAAGCGGTGTAAAACCATACTCACTCACTTACATGGCAAAGGATATATAACCTTATTAAACAATTTGCTGAGTTGAAACTATACTTCATAACATGCAACTAAAGATACAGAGTGAGTGAGTGAGTTGAGTTTTACACCACACTCCGCAATATTCCAGCTATATGGCGGCGGACTGTAAATAATCAAAACTGGATCTTCCAATCCAGTGATCAACAGCATGAACATTGATCTACACAATTGGGATATGATGACATGAGTCAACCAATTCTGCGAGCCTGACCACTCGATCCTGTTAGTCACCTCTTATGACAAGCATGGATTAGAAGAAGATCAATTCTAACCAGGATCTTCATTTGTCAAGTGTTGTAAAAGTGATGGTGAAGGAATTCACTTCATGCATCACAAAATGGATGTCTAGTTAACTCCCCGATCAGAGATGATATTGTGCAACAGATCTATGACATACAAGAAATAGCAACATTGTCGACATGACAAAAGAACACAAACTAAATACTTTCAAAGCTAGGGTATCCTTAATTGGAAATTTCAGTATCGATGTATCAGGTCAAACGTATTATGATGCATAAATGAATCAGTTAACACAAAAATTAACTATTTTGAATGTGTATAGATAAAACAATACCAAAATAAACCTGAAGTTAAAAAATGTAATGCTAAGAATTAACAAGGCTAATTCATAAAATGTTCAGGATGGAATTTCTTTGTCCAAAGATCATGACAATCTTAGTCAACTTGATATACATAAACATTTTTGTAGCGTTAAATTTAGTCTCAAAATATAGAAATTGATATTGTCATCTATCTGTTTATCTATCTATCTGTCGGTCTGTCTGTCTGTCTGTCTGTCTATATTTCATGACATCCCAAGTTAGGGTCATTCTAGGGGCCAGCAGAGATCCAGACATGTGAGTAGCATGATTTGTCTTCGGGCCGTTGATTCATGTCTGTTCTTATTTGTTCTGTCATTATTGATTCGACTGTTTTGTTTTCCCATGTCTGCTTACGTAATAGAATACCAATATTAACTCATTAAAAATACATCAGAAAAATCGTTTGGCAATTAGAAACATAAATATGTGACTGTCTTTCCTTTGATGTGTGCCCATTCTTTGGGGAGGCAATATTAAATCGACATTTGTGACATTCTGAATATGGAATCAGTCCATGTACAACCCATAATCATAGAGTAAAACCTCAGAAGTGAGGTCTTACTGCAGTTGCTGCTTGGCAGCAGGTAGATAACAAACTAGAGGCTGATAGTATGATCAATTATCTACAACGGCATCCATTCAACAACATCACATACCGCGGATTCATTTTAGTATACACTTATCAAAAATATCTGGAGATTCCCCTGAGGCGGAAAATAATATTACTGGACATATTGAATTTCATATATCAGCCTCTCAAATACCTAGTAGTTTCTTAAAGCAGACAGAACGAAATTGATAATGATTATTTCAAGATGTCATATGTTGTAACTGAGAGAATATATTTCAGCTCTTTACTATGGACACAATGACACGTGAAAATAGATCCACAATACAGACATGCCACCCAGGCAGAATCAAAGGTGAGTTCATACAACAGAACATTTAACTATTTGTTGCTTCAAATAATAATCATAAAAAAAGTAATAAAAACTTTCTCTTAATCATACTGATCTACAAGAGTCCACTTAACATTTAGCCACTAGGTCATGGGGTCAAGGAAAATGAAAATGAACACTTCCTGTTCAGATACAATTTCAAAGAATTCACTTACATGAATATTTACAGTTATTCTTGCAGTGGTCTGCATTAAGAATGAAAGTCAAGGGGTCATAAGAAAACTGTAAGGGTCATTAGATTAATGTAATACCTCGAACCTCAAGATCACCTCAATATATGTATGGAAACAGAAATGTAAGATTGTATACAATCTAACTGATTTGTGACATAAAAACGAACGCCAGGAATATATATCAATTTCATTCGACAAACTGACAATTCCAGTGATAGTTGTGATCAATCAGAAGCGGTACATCTGGTTATAGCATTCACATCAAACACTATGGTAGCATTGAACACTTCACACAGTACCTGAACAGTCTTGTGAAAACAGGACTTTCCCTCATACCAGTGGCTGGAACCACTCGAGTCCAGCAACTTACTGGATCAAAAGAAGACTGACTATGCCAGAGTACATCTCAAATTGATCCAATTACTTCGAAACATATGACAAGACTGATTGATTGTGTACAACTCATGTGTAGACTTCACCTTGGTGAAGATCAGCCCTGGGAAGACAGATACACCTCGAGGTTGTGATCAATGCTCACATAAATCCCCAAAACAGACCCAACACGACCCAAAGTCTCTAGTCAATTTATCACAATTGTATTATCAGAACTTACATGACAGAATTGATCTTGGGTACAGTCCCACACCGACTCCAGTGATAGACCATGCTAACAAGCTACGAGTCTGCTTGGTGTGGCTCCACACAGCGGTAGGAAGTGAGCGAGCGAGCGTACACATGGAAAATAAAAACAGGAGGGATGTAAACAATGGGCAAAACAGACTCACCAACTGACAGTTGTCCAGTCCGCAGTCCGAGCTCAGGCCACACTAACACATTCACTGACTTAGTAGGACAATTTCCGACAACAGACCACAATCCTACAATCCCTGGTCGGAGAAGGAAGTCAAGTCACCTTCCGGAGTCCGTCTGCTCGAGTCGAGTCCGTCTGCCCAACAACACAGGCGGATGATCTCTATGGAATTCTGTGGCAGTGTTTTTCTTGATGCTACATTATCCAGATGTCTTCTCCTGAAAAGATCACAAGTTATGGAGCAATTCTCCTTGGCAGACAGTAGAAATTACCCAAAACTGCAGCACAACACTCAGAGTTCACTTCATTACTCACAGCACATGGTCCGTGACCTCTGACCCACAACACTGTGTGCAGAATTACACACTGGTAATAACTGACCTTCTGTCCCCTCCCAGTGTAAATGAGCAGGATTAGGTGGTGAATGGAACACCTCTCTCAAGCTGGACCAGTCCACTGACAAAAGGGGGTGACAGAAGATAGAAATACTGGCTAAGGCAGGATGCAATGAAATCTGTTCCCTCGATATAACACAAAAAAAACACAATAACAAATGCTGAAGCAACACTTTACTTAATAAGTTTTCAAACTGACACAATACTAAAAAAGAAGAATACAACTCAATGAAATTTGAATTGATGAAAATATCTACAAAACAAAATGCGTTAAAGTGAGGGCATCACAAAGAATGGATCACCTGGGGCAGGTTTGTTTCTTGTGATGATTGACAAGAAATTAGTCATAAAGTTACCAAATGCAGCTCTTGTTAAGCTATTTCTATCATGTTCCCTCAAAATGATTAAAGGCACACTGGCCACCACTGCTTGTGTTAATCTTAGTATCAGTTTTTCTTTAATAATTCAGACAAAAATAGCTGTAATCGGTATTGAAGCGCTATTAGAATTTACCTCATAATTGCCCCAGCCTGGGTTGTGTCAGGACTAGTATTATATTCCCGATAATTTCAGTATCATGTTTCCAAACTGACTTGCTGACCCATATTGCTTGACAACCTTTGTATGTCAAGCAAGAATCTTAAAATTTTATGAGAAATGAGACAATGATACTCACAATTGCCAACAAAGGTGTATTTTAAACATTGTTACGAGTTGAAAGCAGAATAAACTTTTGTGTTACTGCTTCAAGTCATAAAAATTATTTTGCTGAAGGGAGAAAAAAGAAGAAGATATTTTTCAGGACATCCTATGAGCAATAGTAAATTGCCAGTGACACATAGTCCATTTCTTATGTTCATGCATGGAAAAATGTCAAAGTGACATACTAGCTACTCAGTTGTACATTTAGAGGTTGCAAACATAAATTTGATACCTGTAAATAGCACGGAATTAGAAATAAAATGGTTTTTGGCATTTATTTCGTAGCTTTGAACACAACTAAAGTTTGATTGTTAAATATTCTATGACAATCGTTTTTCCCAACTTTTGTTTTTAACACTTTTTGTAAAATAATACGAAATAGATGAGTTTACAGGAGAGCAAATCATGTCATTGTTACATGCACCGCCGCCATATAGCTGGAATATTGCTGAGTGTGGCGTAAAGATAAACTATAGCATGCACCGCCGCCATATAGCTGGAATATTGCTGAGTGTGGCGTAAAGATAAACTATAGCATGCACCGCCATATTGCTGAGTGTGGCGCCATATAGCTGGAATATTGCTGAGTGTGGCGTAAAGATAAACTATAGCATGCACCGCTGCCATATAGCTGGAATATTGCTGAGTGTGGCGTAAAGATAAACTATAGCATGCACCACCGCCATATAGCTGGAATATTGCTGAGTGTGGCGTAAAGATAAACTATAGCATGCACCGCCGCCATATAGCTGGAATATTGCTGAGTGTGGCGTAAAGATAAACTATAGCATGCACCACCGCCATATAGCTGGAATATTGCTGAGTGTGGCGTAAAGATAAACTATAGCATGCACGCCATATTGCTGTGAATATTGCTGAGTGTGGCGTATAGCTGATAAACTATAGCATGCACATGCACAGCCATATATAGCTGGAATATTGCTGAGTGTGGCGTAAAGATAAACTATAGCATGCACCGCCGCCATATAGCTGGAATATTGCTGAGTGTGGCGTAAAGATAAACTATAGCATGCACGCGCCATATAGCTGGAATATTGCTGAGTGTGGCGTAAAGATAAACTATAGCTGGAATATTGCTGAGTGTGGCGTAAAGATAAACTATAGCATGCACCACCGCCATATAGCTGGAATATTGCTGAGTGTGGCGTAAAGATAAACTATAGCATGCACCACCGCCATATAGCTGGAATATTGCTGAGTGTGGCGTAAAGATAAACTATAGCATGCACCGCCGCCATATAGCTGGAATATTGCTGAGTGTGGCGTAAAGATAAACTATAGCATGCATGCACCGCCGCCATATAGCTGGAATATTGCTGAGTGTGGCGTAAAGATAAACTATAGCATGCACCACCATATAGCTGGAATATTGCTGAGTGTGGCGTAAAGATAAACTATAGCATGCACCGCCATATAGCTGGAATATTGCTGAGTGTGGCGTAAAGATAAACTATAGCATGCACCACCGCCATATAGCTGGAATATTGCTGAGTGTGGCATAAAGATAAACTATAGCATGCACCGCCATATAGCTGGAATATTGCTGAGTGTGGCGTAAAGATAAACTATAGCATGCACCACCGCCATATAGCTGGAATATTGCTGAGTGTGGCGTAAAGATAAACTATAGCATGCACCGCCGCCATATAGCTGGAATATTGCTGAGTGTGGCGTAAAGATAAACTATAGCATGCACCGCCGCCATATAGCTGGAATATTGCTGAGTGTGGCGTAAAGCTAAACTATAGTATGCAAATGAGATATAATTTCCATAGGTTCACATACATAATATTTTTTATGAAAAACATCATGTACCATTCATCCTTAATTTTTTTTATCCTAATTGATATACAAAATAATTGATTTAGGGATTTTCTCCTAACATTTTTCATGCCTGTCCTCTTGTTGAAAGTTGACTATTTGTATGTGTTCATTCATAGCTTTCATTGTCAGTTGTACAATCACTATGGCAATGCACGTACAAATGCATCTTCCTGTCTGAACAGTGCTGCAGGTAGTTGTAACCTCCCATTGTTGATTGTTACACAAGTTACAAAATGTTTCTAAATTTGTTGATAATATGGAAATGTTTGTTATTTTTACCTGTAAAATGGTATTATGGATGATTAGAGGACCAAATTAAACGGCCTAGTTATTTTAAAAACATAGTTATTTCAATATTTGTTAAAACTACCTATTTTAATGAAGTAATAAACAAATAAATGCCAAAAACCATTTTATTTCTATTTCCGTGAGTACTTTAGCAGGTCTCCAGATAAGGGCCGTATTGACGTATGTACGGATAGAAAATATGCATGATACGGTAGGAAATAATTTTGAAAACAGATACGCACCACAGCAATGGTGTACGGTCTTAGAATCATTTACAGACGTATTTATCTGAAAACATATTGTTTTATTGTTTCACCTGTTTACACAAATAAGGAGTACGTACTCCTGATGTTGAAAAATTATCTGGAGCCCTGATTTAGCATCCTGTATTCAGCAGAGATATTGTTCTTATGCCCTCAGGGATTGGGATAGAGAACTTTGACAATGGGCTATTTTCAGGATGATTAGCCATTTTCTGAATTTAGAATGGGCCACTGCCCTTGTATCAATAGTAAACTTCAAAATTTTAATGGGACATTTTTTAATCTAATGTGCAAAATGGCCCATGGCCCCTGCTTTTCCCAATCCCTGTGCCCTATATGAAACTAAGAAACATTTGTGTCCTAGAGCTGGTTATCGTTACAGTTTGTCAGATCGATAATCGCTAGAGTCAGATCGATAATCGCTAGAATCAGATCAATAATCGCTAGAGTCAGATCGATAATCGATCGATTATAATTGTTTGGACAGTTATTTCATAGTCAAATGCCTATGTTAGCGAACTAACTTCCAGGTTGTTGTTAGCACCTGTCAACTCGTAGTATTTCAATGACGACGTGACCTTTTTGGGAAAGGGACATCCCAATCTAAATATATCTAGCATTGCTATTGGCTGACATACGCACTTGTGCAGCACACAGCTTCAGTTTAATGAGTAAACAAGCAATGGCGACCAGATTGTTCGGTAAAAGAAATCATGACAAGGTAGAATAAAATGTTTTATTGTATGTGCATCCAAATAATTATTATTTCCGATTATCGATCTGTAGTTTATTTGTAATCGACAATCGTTCATTTTGACTTGGATCAAACGATTAAACGATCCTACGATTAATCGCTCCAGCACTATTGTGTCCTGTATGAAACTAAGACATTGTCACTAGTATCTTGTATGAAACTAAGACATTGTCACTAGTATCCTGTATGAAACTAAGACATTGTCACTAGTATCCTGTATGAAACTAAGACATTGTCACTAGTATCCTGTATGAAACTAAGACATTGTCACTAGTATCCTGTATGAAACTAAGACATTGTTGTCACTAGTATCCTGTATGAAACTAAGACATTGTCACTAGTATCCTGTATGAAACTAAGACATTGTCACTAGTATCCTGTATGAAACTAAGACATTGTCACTAGTATCCTGTATGAAACTAAGACATTGTCACTAGTATCCTGTATGAAACTAAGACATTGTCACTAGTATCCTGTATGAAACTAAGACATTGTCACTAGTATCCTGTATGAAACTAAGACATTGTCACTAGTATCCTGTATGAAACTAAGACATTGTCACACTAGTATCCTGTATGAAACTAAGACATTGTCACTAGTATCCTGTATGAAACTAAGACATTGTCACTAGTATCCTGTATGAAACTAAGACATTGTCACTAGTATCCTGTATGAAACTAAGACATTGTCACTAGTATCCTGTATGAACTAAGACATTGTCACTAGTATCCTGTATGAAACTAAGACATTGTCACTAGTATCCTGTATGAAACTAAGACATTGTCACTAGTATCCTGTATGAAACTAAGACATTGTCACTAGTATCCTGTATGAAACTAAGACATTGTCACTAGTATCCTGTATGAAACTAAGACATTGTCACTAGTATCCTGTATGAAACTAAGACATTGTCACTAGTATCCTGTATGAAACTAAGACATTGTCACTAGTATCCTGTATGAAACTAAGAC